TGCAATCAGGAAACTAGAAAAACTAAATTGTTGAGATCTTCTTTCAGCTCTCGGAAATTCTACAGGTCTCTGGCTAATTGCCCTGATTAATCACACGATAGGTAGGTAGCAATTTTTTCTAATTATCCTTGTACAGATATGCAGACTATGAATGTATTACCATTCTACAATATACATAGTTTTTTAAAATTTTATTAAAGGAAGGTGGGATAGATGCAGAGGTTGAGTCAATCCAAGGCTTTGGTTCTTGCTCCATTGTCATCACTGATCCGGACAAGGCCAGAGAAGCAGTTGGCGGATCTCTTCCCGCGACCACATCCCTCACTCCCGCCCTCCCCTTCCCACCAGGTAGCTGCCCTCATGTGTCGGTTGTATATTCTTAAGCTTAAATGCACCTTTGGAAATAGGTAGTGTCATTTTGCTTGTGTATATTTAAAACTTTACGTACATGGATCTCATTTTTCTGTTCGGTTCCAGGAAGCCTTATGTTTCTAGCTCTGCACTGTTTCTAAGCGCTGTGCCCTGTTGGCGGTGGGCATCCACGCGCTTCCCCTTCCTCTGCCAGGGGCATACAGCGAGTCGCTTCCAGTTCCCTGCTTCCACAAACCATGCAGTGAAAAACATATTCTCTTCCATGCTTCTCTTTATAAGGTTTCTCTTTCCCCCTTTTTCTTTAGGAGTGCGATCACAGAATCATACATAATTGGTACCGTTACTTTGCCAGATTGTTCTCCACAATGGCAACATCCATGTATAAAGGAGTTATTGCTTCCCCATCAACAGTTAGCATTATAGAACTGGGCAATGTTTCCCTATCTGATAGGTGTAAAGTAATGTCTCACTGTTGGCTTTCTTCTTTACTTACTGAGATAATATACTTGTTATTTATTCTTACACTTTTTTAATCTTTCTAGGGTTTTCCATCTTGTCGATTCCAAGAGTTCCCTTTATAGTAAAGCTGTTTCCCTTTATCTATTCCTTATGTCTACTCCATTCATCCATCTGTCTACTACAACTGACATTTGGGTTGGGATTACAGTGAATTTACAGAGTAATTCAGGAATAGTTGACATCTTTACGCTAAGTCATCCATCTATATGCATGGGCTAAAACTTCATTTATTCAGATTTTCTTTAATGTTATTTGGTAGAGTTTAAAATTTTCTCTCTACAGGACTGAGGTAGTAATGACATCCCATCTAAACTGTAGTTATCCCTCTATAGGTTGGCATTGCTAAGTAATTTAATGTACATGTTCAATATTAGCCCTATTTATGCTTTTTAGGTCTGTAGCGTTTATAGACTCCTCAAAACGAGGTCTGTTTGACTTGGCCTGTGCAGTATCTACACAGCTCCATGTAAAGACAGATACTGATATGTACTTTTGATTAAATGATTCCTTATTTTTTCTCTTATAAGATGCCTCAAGCAAAATGATAAATTCTAAGACAATTATTTTTAGAATAAGGAATTGCTGAGTCAATAATAATAGACCAATGTAGTAGGACAATCCAGTACCTTCTCTATATTACAAAAATTTTATTGACTTCCTACCATACGGCAAGCTATCATGTGTTCTCATATAGTAGGTGGACCCCGTGATCCCAAGACCCTTTCTTATGAGATAAGAACATATTCACAGATTTTCTAAGATATTATTTGCTTTCTTCACTCTGATGACCTTTACTCTGATGACCTTTGCACTGATGATGCAAAAGCAATAGTAGGTAAAACTGCTAGTCTCTTAGCATGAAACAAGGCTACTTTTTGTCTTGGAAAATGGAATTCTTTTTTTATAAAATTATTATTGATGTTAACATGTAATAGGTTTATTATTGTTTTAAATAAAAGTACATATTTTCTAAATTTCTCAGTTTTAATTTCTAATAGTAGATAGTAATAGATATAACTCACACATACAAACGCTTTTTGGGGTCCTTAATGACTTTTAAGAGTATAAATTTCACCCTGGCCAGTTTGGCTCATGGTTTGAGTGTTGGCCTGCAGAACGAAGGACCCTGGGTTGGATCCCTGGTCAAGGGCATGCATCTCGGTTGCAGGTTTGACCACCAGCCCTGGTCAGGGCACGTGCAGGAGGCAACCAATCAATGTGTTCTGTCACATCGATGTCTCTCTCTCTCTCTCTCTCTCTCTCTCTCTCTCTCTGTCTTTCCGTCTCTCTCTCTCTGTTTCTCCTTCCCCTCCTCCCCTCCACTCTTTCTAAAAAATCAGTGGATAAAAATATCCTCAGGTGAGGATTAAAAAGAAAAAGAGTGTAAAGAGTGTAAATTTCTGGAGATAAATAAGTTTTAAGAACCACTGCTCTAGGACTTGGAAAGAGAATGAAAGAGACAAAGTCTCTGCCCCATTAAGGTTAAGGTATGGAGATGGACAAATATATAAAGATAACTTCAGATTGTATAAGGCTCTAAAAGAAATCAGGTGATATGGTGCACAGTACATGAGTTAAAATGCTTTAAATACTAAGCTCAGGGAAGTCTTCTCTGAGGAACTTACTATTTGACCTGAGACTTGAAAAATGACTAGAAGTGACTAATTAAAGGGCTAAGGGAAGAGCATTCCAGGCAGAAGGAAAGAGGGTTTCATCAGTCTGAGATGAAAAGTGTATGCCTATTTGAGAACTCGAGAAGAGGCCAGTGTGGCTAGTAGAGTGGTAATCAGAGAAAGCACTACTAGAGTAGGTGGGAGAAGTGGGCAGAGGAGCAACGGCCTTGGTGGCCTCCACTTGGATTAAAACAGAAGTCCAGTGGGGAGCCACTGAAGGCTGAAGTTGGGACTATATAATTTGATTAAGATGTTGGAAGCTGACTGTGTGGCTGCTGTGTAGAGGACAGATTGCTGAGTAGTAATAATTGAGGCAGGGGGACCAGTTAGGCTGCCAAGACACTGGCACCAAGAGGCAAGTGAGTAGGCCAAAGTGGTGGCCATGGAGAGTGAGAAAAGGTGATAGGTTCCAGATGGAGATAATAGTAGGATCTGCTGATGGGATGGTGTAGAGAATGAAGAAAGGAAGAAATCAAAGATGATTTCTAGTTTGTTGGGTAGAGCAACCAAGTGATCGAGAGTGCGTTTGCTGACATGGCCCTCACTGTATAAGCACCATATTGCCACATTTTCAGATCCCTTGCACCTCTCCTTTAAATTTGCTGGGCAAAACCCCAAACCTGGTCAAATATAAATCTCCACGGACTCCTCACTTTGCACCTGAGCAATGAAACATGATGGAGAAATATCCCATGCCCAGGCTAACTGATTTCTTCATGACTCCAAACTTCAAGTGGGACTTTACCCTGCCATGCAATCCCACTCTAACTTCCCAGCTAATTTGCCTTTCTTCTCTCCTAGGTAACCATTTTACATGCTCTTCTCTCTCCTGTAACCTCCAATACCTGTCCCTTCTCCATTTTCTCAGTTCATAATGGCCTTGCTTCCTATTTCAATCAGAAATAAGCTCCCACATCTCTGGCTACATCTGTCAACTTACTGCAAACTGCGTCTCCTGCCTTTCCCTCCCTTGCAATGGATTAACTGTCTGGTCTCCTACCTAAAACCACCGTCGCCACCTAAACTCTGGCTCTCCCCTTTCTTGCCTACTTGTAAACATTGCTCCAACAGAGAATGCCTCTGTTTTTTTCTGAGTCAAGTCAGCATCCGCACTGCAGTTAAGCTTTCTTTCCCTTCATTCCACTGAAATTATCCTGTCAAGGTCATCAGTGATGCCCACATTGTTAACCTAATGATTATTTCTCAGACTTCACTGCATTCACCTTTTTAGCAGCATTTAACAGTCAATCACTCCCTTTTTGAAACACCTTCTCCGCTTCTCCTCTGGGCACCAGCCTCCCTGGGTTCTCCTGTTTCATTGGCAACTCTGTCCTCAGTCTCTTCAGTGAGGTCTTCCTTGTCTTTCCAATCAGTAAATTTTGGACACCCCACCAACCCCCCAGATCTTAGTTATTGAACCTCTTCACCTTTTCTATTTACACTCACTTCTTTGTTGATCTGATCAGATCTTGTGGCCTTAAATACCATTCTTACACTGATGAGTTCCAGTTAGTATATGCTCCTCGTATCCAGCAACCACTTGAGATCACTGTTTGCTTGTTTAACAGTTATCTCAAATTTAACATATCCACTCCACTAAGCCCCTGTCGACCCACCCCCCGAACATCTGTCCCACATAGAGCCTTCATCATATCAGTAACACCATTACTTCATTTGTTTAAGTCAAAAACCTTGAATAGCCCGAGCCAGTTTTGCTCAGTGGTTAGAGTGTTGGCCCTCAGACTAATGGGTCCTGGGTCTGATTCCAGACAAGGGCACATACGTACCTCGGCTGCAGGCTCGATGCCTGGCTCTGGTCAAGGTACATGCGGGAGGCAACCAAGCCATGTGTCTCTCCCACATGGATGTTTCTCTCTCTCCTCCTTCTACTCTCTCTGAAAAACAATGGAAAAATTATCCTCAGGTGAGGATTTAAAACAAAAACAAAAAACCTTGAATATACTTGACTCTTCTATTGCCCAATATATCAGTAAAATTTTGGGGGCTCTAACTTCCAAGCATATCCAGAGCCCCACCTCTTCTCACCACAGCTGTTGCCCCATTCTAGGTCAGGCCATCATCATCTCTTGCCTGTGCACTCTTACCTGGTGTCTCTGCTTCTGCCTTCATCTTCCTACAGGGTATTATACAGCAGCCAGAGTGATTATTTAAAACACAGTTTTAGTAATGTCCATTTAAAATCTTCCAAGGTCTTCCTGTTTCATTCTGAATAAAAATCTAAATCCTTACCATCGATTCCAATAAGTGATCAGGCCCCTTGCCACCTTTCTAACTTCCTTTTCTAGCAGTCCTCCCTTTTCATCCCACCTCTCGACTCCACGTCAGCAACACTAGGCTCCTTGCTGTTCCTTGAACACATTAAACACACGCCTTCTTTAGGAACTTTCTCACTTGCAACTCCCTCCATCTGGAATGCTCTTCTTTTAGATATCGACATGGCTTACTTCACTTCTTTCAGGTTTCCTCTTAAATATCATTTTCTCATAAAGACATTCCCTTGACACTCTTCAACTTCTAGGTGAAGATGGAGGATTGAACACCTGCGTTTCCCTCAGCGCTCCCCTCAAAGTCTCCTGAATGGCAGCTAATAAAAGTGTGTTAAGCCCATAAACTCACAAAGAAAAAGAGCAAAATAGGAGACTCTAATGACGAAATTTGGGGAGCTAGAAAGAAGAGATAACAGGAAACACAGACATATAGGACTATCCATACCTTTTACTTAGCTATATTTTTCTCCATAGCACTTAATCTAGATAAATGTAAGTAAATATAAACACAAGATATATATATATATATATTGACTTCAGAAGTAAATTTTAGTTGACTTTTCCTCCACCTCTGAGAATGTAAGCTGCATGGCATCCATCTTTTCAGTTCGGGCTTGTGTTGTATTCTCTGGCTTTGGAATCATATAGATATTCTGTACAAGTTTTTGATTGTATAACTCGCATGGCATGGACAAGGTGCAGTTTGTGGAGGGTGTGGGGTTGTGGCAGTCAGGGGTCCACTAGGTTAAATTTGAGTCTGTTAGACATCCAGGTGAAGATATGAAGCGAATATCTGGATATCTGGGGTTGAATGCAGAGGTCCTGGCTAAATGTATAAATTTTGGAGTCATCAACAGCAGGATGAAATGAGATCACCTTGGGGAGTATGAACACAAAAAGAGAAAAATGCCAAACTCTAAGCCCTGGGGGGCTCCATCATTGAGAGGCCAAGAAGAGCAATGGTCTTCAAACTTTTATAATCCAATACTATTATCTGTAAAAAGAAGAAAAGATAATTTAAATAGAGCATTACGATAATAGGTATTTATTTATAAATTATATGTATTATTGTACAAATATAGTCTGTACATCATAAAAGACAAAGACACACATATTAAAAAAGAATGAGCTGGAAGACTTCCAGTTAAAGAGGAAGTATTGAACACATGTATTTTGAGCTCCCTCCTGAAGACCACTGCAGTGATAGTAAATGGATTTTTAAACAGAAGGTATAAACCCACAAGGACAAAGAGAACAAAAATAAAACAATGTCACTAGAATATAGGAAACTGGAAAGAAGAAAGAAAAATGGCAGCCAACTTAGCAGACCTGGGAGAGCTGAGGCTGCAGTGGGGAGAAGGCAAGAAGCAGCCATATTTACGTGTAGCATAGAATCCAGTCCCCACCCCCACCCCAAAGGCTCAGGAATTGGTGTCTGGCACCTCTGATAGAGGAGGTAAATTCTGGGCAAGAATAGACTTGGCTGAAGGTCTGTTTGAGAAGCAGTTACACCCACAGGCACCTTCGCTACTCTGCACTGCAGATGACTAACCCTCTACTACACAGCAGCAGACTAGAGGTTGTTTTCTGGAGAAGATTAAAGAGAGGGTCTTGACTGCAGAACAAGCACACTTCAGATGGGAATTCCAAATGGAAAACAGGTTGATTAAGACAAAGTTAACATCAGAATGCTTAAAACTGAAATATCAAGAGGGAGCTCTATATGTTTTCTGGAGCTATGGATGCAAATAACAAAAAGAACATTATTTTGCTGTGTAGCAATGATTGCCAATGGAATTCGTCTACATAAAGAGAACTTTAAAAAAGTGAATGCTATATAAAATTTCCTTTATTTCTTAGAGCCATTACAAATGTTTATTTCTTTTAGACAGCATGGATTGTTTGAACATTATCTTGGTGCCTGAATGCAGACATTTTAAGTAATTGCATTTCTTGAGTCCTGGATTAGAAGGAGGCATAAACATTGATTTCTTCTGTTCTATGTAACTGATGATGCAGAGTCTACGTTGAGTACCATGGCATGGCCAAAACTTATTTACACATTTCACATGATGTATGTCTAGAGTAACAATCCTTGAAAATGCAATAATAATATCTTGCTTCTATAACATTACATTTTGATGTCTATATACCTTTATTATCCAACATATTCTATACTTCATTCACAGTGAAACTGTGTATGTTCTTGGAAATCGCTATGCTTTTATTCTTCTTTGCCTGCAATATCCTTTCCTTGCCTATCTGCCTGAAAAGCTTCTACCTACCTTTCAAGAACTATTCATATATGACCTTTTTTAAAGGGCTTCCTTGACTCTCTGCTGTTATTGCTCCATTATTTATGCAAAACAACACCTTGTTTGTACTTTCATTATGGCAGTCCCTGAGTTGTTTTGTAATTATATTTATAAGTCTGTTAACTCTCTTAGCCCAGATACTATCTCTTATTTATATTTGTAGTCTGTTAACCCGTCATACTGCTGGGCACACAGTAGTTATTCAATAAATGTTTAAATAATGTTTGAAAATGATTTTGTGTTCATTATCTTATTTTATTTTCCCATATTCAATCAGTCAATAGATCCCATTGCTCTAAATATTTATTATAGCCATCACTTCTTATCCATGCCAATGTCTACTACCTAGAAGTTATGCTTCTGCTGTCTGTTGCTCAGAGTATTAGCACTTAACCTGATTTTGGTCTCTAGTCTCACTCTCCTCTGTACTTCATTGGCCCATCAGAATGACTTAACCACAAATGTTACCATTTTCCCTATACCTTAAAACATTTAGGTTGGCTACATCTACTTCTAGATATACTAAAGAGAGTATATTTATTCACTAGCTTTAAACAATTTTTAGACATTGAGACAATTAACAGTGCAGGACATTTGATCCCTAAGAGAGAGAAGGCTAATAAAGTGAACACTTTGATTGCCCCAGCTCAATTCCTGAAAAAGAGTTTCCAAGCCATAACAAAGTGAGAGAGAACCAAAACAGAGCCTGGCAATTTTGCTCAATTAAGAGACGGAATTCTAACCAGCCAGAATGAAACAACCTCCTGCTACATGGGCATTAAGTAGAGTCCTTAGAACGTTAGTGCCTAAGTAATAGGGACACATTAGCCTAGACTAAAAGTTATTCTCAATCTGTATCACACACTCAAAAGCAATTCTCAAAATGAGGTAAATGGAAGGTATTAAAAAAATAATGTGAATTTATACATATGAAAATACATGATCTGAAGTAAAAAATAACTGAATGAGATTAATAGTATATTACACACCACAGAAGATTAGTGAACTTGATGACACAGCAATAGAAACTATCCAAAATGAAATAAAAAGAAAAAAAATAGTAAACATAAGACAAGTTGTGGAATAATATCAAATAGTTTAACAATATCTGTGTAATTGATGAACCAGAAAGGGAGGGGAAACAGAAAGTATATTTTAGAAAACAATGGCTACAATTTCTCCAAATTTTATAAAAATTTTACATCTATAGATCCAAGAACCTTAATGAGCATCAATCAGCAAAAATATGAAGAAAAGTATATCCAGACACATCATAACCAAAGTACTAAAAATCAGTGATAAAATAAATATTTTAAAAGCACTCAGAGATAAAGGACACACTATGTTCACAGGAATAAAAATAAAAAAGACAGCAGACTTCTCATCAGAAACCATGCAGGCCAGAAGATAATGGAGGAACTTCATTAAATAAATTAAACCAAAGAAAACAAAACATTTCAACCTATATTTTCATACCCGGGGGGGGAAAAAAGACCTTTTAATAATGAAGAAAACTTCTGGTTTCTCTTAGGGTGTAGAAAGCAAGAAAGAGTGCTGTTTCTACCAAAACACAAATAGGTTGTAATAATGAGGTACATGTGCATACATTTTCTTGAACATATCAGAGAGCTAAGATTACAAGGCAACCAGGAGGTCAGAATCCAAAAACAGACAGGCCTCTCCAAGGAAGAGAGAGAATATGAGAATTGGTTTATGAATGGCATAGTATGGGGATGAGAGACAATATACACCATAAAATCATGTAAAAAGAATTCAGCTAAAAATTTCAGAAACTGATAAGGCTGAGTGTGGGCTAGCATTACAGTCTGACCTGGGAGCCACAGACATACAGAGAGTTAGGTCCTTTCCATGGGTTTCCATTGGGTGCTCACTAGAAATACTACAGGAAGGACAAGAGACCAGAAAAAACTTCTTCAGTAGTGCAGGGTCACTGAAAGGAATTGGATGCTGCTGTGGAAAAGGCATGAAGCACCTCCTGGGCCCTTTACCCCTAGGAAATAAAAACCTTAAGTCATGGAGGTAGAAGCAACAAACCCTAATACGTCCTGGACACACTTGAAATACCACTGTGGCTGGTAGATAGGTAGAAGAAAAATACCCTCTACTTATAGGAAAGAAGCATGAAACAGTCATAGTCACAGATCCTATATCAATCAATATCATTAGGGGCCTCCATCAACAGATGGTTGGGGTATGGGGAGGGGGAGTTTGAATTCCTGAAAAATACCCAATAAGAATATAAGGCAGAGGTTGGCTGTCATGGAGAGGAGAGACAGGATCATGAGAAATACCCACCACAAAGACCTAGGCACACAGAGCATAACTAAGCCTGAGCTGGACCAGGACAACAGAGAAACTTCCTGCCTCCTGCTCAGATAGCAAGCATTGAATACTAAGCAATAGTAGGCTACCTCTAGGTAGGAGGCAAGATTGTGGGGAAAGATCTCCTATGTGGCATAGTTGCACAGGAAAAGATGAAAGCTAAAGGTATAGCAGGAATATTGGGGGAAAAAACACAAAAAGCATTCAGTACAGTCTCCAACCCTAACCCTTTGTTATGTCTTTGTCACATTTTGTTATCAGAGTAATGCTAGCCTTATAAAATAAATAGAAACATTCCCTCTTTTTCTTTTTAAAGCATTTGTATAAAGTTTGTATTATTTCATCTTTAAATACTTGGTATAATTTGAAGTGAAGTCACCTGGGCCTGGAATTTTCTTCATATGAAGATTTTTAATGAGAAATTCATTTTCTTTAACTAACCCTGGCTATTTCTGTTGTTTATTTCTTCTTGAGTAAACTTTGATATTTTGTGAAGGAATATATTATGAAGGAATTTATTCATTTCATCTAAGTTCCCTAATTGGTAGGCATAAAGTTGTTCATAGGTACTTAGTATATTTTTAATGTAGGTAAGATCTATAGTGATGTTTATTTTCCTGTTCCTGATACTGTCCTTCTAGAGCTGAGCCTTGTCTACCTCCCCACCTAACTTGCCTACTCTCTCTCTTGCTCTGTCTTTACTCTGTCTTATGTCAGCTCTTTTGCAAGTTTCTCTGTGTGCTTCTCATAGCTCCATGCTAGGCACTGCCCTTTTTTCACTCCATATCCTTTGCCTTCTTTAGGTCAATCATCCATTTCCATGCTTTCAATTATTATACCAATGACAGCAAAGCCAGGAAGCCACAGAGGTTACTTCTTTTCTCTATACTATCAAAGTGTTCTTCTTTGGCAACAAGCTACCTGAATTGGGTTTGGGGTTGGAGAAAGAAAATGGAGGGACTATGGAAGAGAGCAAAGATAGCCAAAAATGAGGATGAGAAATGACATTTGTTGGTATTTCAAAATTATCTTTCCAGGTTTAGTAGTATTCTCTCATAACACCCTATATTCCTTCTTTGAAGCACATACCACACTTGAAATCATTTGCTATTATCTCTCTTCTGGGCTAACCTGTAATCTTTTTGAAGGTCTGTCTCCTTGACTTCTAGAATCTTCCAAACAAAGCAGGGTGCTCAGCATTGTTAGCATGTATTCACCCAATAAATATTTGTTGCCTAACTAAGTACTCTAGCTCTCAAATGTGTTGCTTCATCCAAGCCAAGCTTGTGCACTATTTGTTTTATGTCCCTGTACATTTCTTTTAATATTTCCCTTGCTTGGATTGCCCAGTCCTCCTGATTTCTCCCTACCCGCGTTCCAACCCTAATCCACCAGCAATAGTCTTACTTTTACATTCAACCTGAGCTTAAATTTCTTCTCTGGAAATGCTCCCTAACTACCCTTTAGCAGAGGTGTGCGCCACCCCTATACCTTGTAGCTAGCTCTGCATTGAATGATGTTCTCATGCCAGTTTCCCCTTCTTAGCTGATTCTGACTCTTTCACACCTGCCATAACAATTGGCACACAGTAGGCTCCTAATACATATTTGTTAAATGAATGATTTCTTGTCCCATCAGTCATGTGATATATATAAAGAAGCATTTTGCTTAGTTAATTATTAGGTTTGTGGAGATAATGAGCCCCAATTTCTTTACATGAAAAAGAGGGAATCAACTCCTACAAAGGTGAATGCCAAACCTCAAATCCTTGGAGAGAGCTACTATTGGAACTTCTAACCACTGCTGTAATGAGATTTAAATAGATAGTAAAGCAACCCAATTTCTATCAAGAATTTCTCCAAAGGAAAAATAATAAGTATATGTCTACAATTTCTTTAAAATTAGAGGTTAGCTATATTAGCTTGGAATCCATTTAACTATAAGCAAAGTCATGAAGAGATTATGCAAAGGAACTTTTCATGTGGCCTAATTCAACCTTGTGTGAGGCAAGCGCTTTACTTAACCCAACTGATTTTTTTAAAGTATTATAATTGCGTTATTTACTTACTTCCAGGAACTAGAATTGAAAAGTGATTACCAGGAAATTTCTAACCACGAGAAAAAAAAATTGTTAGCATGTAGGACAAACTATTTGTGACTGTATGGTTTGTGTGGTAGATCTGTAAAATAGTGGTTTAGATGAAATGTAAGAACTTTAAGTACACAATTGCTTCCACTTCTACAACTTTTACCAACATACTAGAAAGAGGGATATGTAGTTCAGAATTGGGTCAGAAGTCAATATATTCAATTCTCCCAATGACACCAAGATTTGATGGAAATGAATATTGTTCCAATTATTTAAAAAATACATACGTATTATAGAAGCAAAAACCTCATCATCTCCTCCTTCTTGGTTATATATGATATCCTCTTACAATACCTAAAAATCATTTTAGGTTGAAAGAGGAAGAAATAATAAGTATGAGAAAGTCCATAAATAAATGTTTGTTAATTCTCTGTGATTTACTAGTCTCAGGGTTCAAGTTGGGAGTGGGGCAGGAAGGAACTGGAAGGAAACCTGAGTTCTGGGTTCTAGTCAACTATACTATTTGAGTCACTTAAGAAAAATTTTAGTGTCTTCATCATACAAAATAAACATGCTTATCCAAAGCTGCTTGCACAGAGCCAAAGTCACATTCAAACCTTGTACATTCAGAGAGAGCAGGATGGTGGTCATGAAGGATCTTCCTTTTTTCTTTCATTTCATTAAACTCAATGAAGAAAATTCTCCTGGAAACATATGACCTACCAAGCTAGATGATTTCACTTCTATGGAAAAGATCTTACTGCAAACTCCATTCCATTCTGATCAAGCCTTTCACAGAATATACATTTAGAATTTGTACTAAATTGTCATGTGCTTATGTAAATGCTACCCTGCAATGATTTCCTAGCTGTTTCACTCATTCAATAGTCATTCATTCAGCAAAGTTTATTGAACACCTACTATGATCCAGGTATCTCACTGCTAATAAGTGAGAAGAACATAACACGATAAATGAGCAAGGATGTATAGCACCGAGAGCGAACAGTAACATAAACTGTAAACTTTGGGTGATTGTGGTAGGTCAGTGCGGATCACCGTGGTGGGAGGTGCTAATCATGGAGGAAGACATGCATGTGTGGGGGTGGGGGGACATGGGATATCTCCGTACCATCCTCCCAATTTTGCTGTGAACTTAAAACAATTCAAAAAGTAAAGTCTTTAGAGAGAGTATATATTATAGGGAAAAAGTGAAAGCATGTGAAGTGACTTATTTTTACATATGAGTTTCAGGCAAAGTCTCTCCAGGAGGTGATATTTAAGAGGTAGAGGCATGATCATGCATGACTGCATAGGACAAAGTAATTAGTCTGGATTTTATTCTACTGACGTGGGGAACCATTGAAAGATCTTCAGCAGGTAAGTAATATGATCCTGAAAAGATTAGCGAATGCAAGAGTAAAAGGAGCCAGGTTACATCGGTCTTCTCCCCTGAGACTAGATTGTAATAGTGAATAGAGAATATGTGCTGCCCTTAGGGCCTAGCCCAGGGCACAGAGAAGCATCCAGTTCATGCTTATTAAATGAATAAAAGCAACATTCACATTTCATGATGTGGTGTACTCTTCCATTTTAATAACATTTAAAATAGTCACTAAACAAAATGCGAATGCATTAAAAGACCTTGCATTATGAGAGTAACAGCGCCTCTATTTCTACCTCTAGGACTGGGTATAAAATGAAGACCACATTCAGCCATGCAAAAATGATGAAGAGCAGAAGGAAGAGGCTTGACAATTTTTTCCCTCTTGCCCATGATCCTGTTTCCTCCAACTCATTTCTCTGTGAATGTCTTTGGCTAATTTAAGGAACCTATTCTTGACTACAGGAACCATATGTTGCTTCTAAATGTTATGCCCTTAGAAAAAGCTTAAGCTTTTTGGGGGTGGGGGTTACTCATACTTGATTTTTATTTAAAAAATCATCATAATCTTAAATAATCTGAGTAAGATTATGATCTTTTGAATGCTTGATGGAGATAGTAAAATATTTTACCTTTGCTTATTCATTAAAGCCATGAAAGTCCATTAATTCCATTATTAACTGTGCATATACAATACAACCTGGAATTTCACTCCATGATCACACAGTTCTGAATAGTAGGTGATTTGATTTAGCGACTATTTGATTTAAATATGGGCTCCACAGCATTGGAAAGATCAGAAATATATTTCATGCTGTATTTTACATTTCTACTTTGTTCACCTAGTCAAAAAGCCTAAATTGGTTCTTAATATGTTACAACCAAATCACTTGCCTATTATATCTATTTAACTTGCTTGTAATAAAAAAGTCTGTATTAGATAAAATAGTTGTATGGCCATAATTATGCAAGGATCAAAGACATGGGCTCTTGGACTCTGTGAATATGTCCAGTTTGAAATGTCTAAGTGTGGGAATAGGAACCAACTATGGCATTCTCGGGTGCCATGCTCAGCCTTCAGAGGTCCTTATTTTTTGAAACAAACATGTCTTGATGCCCCAAAAAAACTGGCCAATCACATTTGTAGAATGAAGTATCTTGGGCACAGTCTGTGTGAATCACCATCCATCTGGTGTGCCTTCTACTTAGAAAGGTGGATCCTACAAAGCTAAATTCTCCAAGAAATTAAGGATATGAAACTGTTGGGTGTTTTTAAAGAGTAACTTAAAATTACTTAGGAGTTTTATGTTCTTTAAGCAATTAACGTCAGTATTGCCTCTGGTAATTGTAATCTAGGATTGAGGTGTAGTTTTTTTCATAATGATGATGATAATGATAATATTAATAATTTATAACATGTTTTGAATGATTACTATATGCACACTCTGAGTTGAACACTTTCTTTGTATCATCTCATTTACTCTTCACAACAACCTTATGAACCAGTTATTATCATCTGAACTTTACTGATGAGAAGGCTGAGTCTTTGTGTTCTTAACCACTACCTCTTAATGTCTCTTACAAGGGTGGTGCTTCCTTAGAGAGGAAATTGGTTGGAATATACTGCTCTCTCTGACTAGAAGAGGCAGTCCAGTATCTTGGTCAGGTTCCTACTCACTTCAAAGAGTTTATCTCTGGACAGATGACTGAGATACTGTGCAAGGATTTTTGTTAGATTAGTAGCAACATATTTCTATTTTCCTTGACAGCGGGAGAAATTGAAGCTCAAAGTAAAATATAACTTGTCTAAAGTGAGAATCGTAATTTGGGAGCCAGAGTCAGGTTTAACTGATGATTCCACGATTCACTAGCATTGCTACCTTTGCCAAACTTTTAAACCTCTCTGGGCTTCTGTTTGCATTTAAATCGCGCTGGTAGTAACGTCTGTATAATAGGATCCTAACTGTCAGGACCCTAGTGCACAGATGAAAACAAGAAGCCATGTCTGTGCCTGCTACGGAGTAGCTGCTGCATGAAGGTAGCTACCATCATGACTGCGACTCACCAGCCTCACACAAGAGAAGAACTGATGCCCATTTCTCTCCGGTGACTCACAGACACAGGCTGGGATGTGCTTTTCTTGCTCTCTAAGGAGGGAGTGTCCACGAAGCCTATCTCCACCATGGAAGAATTCTTGGCCCATTTTCTCCTGGAAACAAAACTGAAATTTAATTTTGCCAAGGTGCCAGTAACTACAAAATATGACCATTATATGTCCTTTTCTTAATGCACCATAATCTTTCGTAAGATAAACAAAATAGCAAAGAGTTGACTTGAATACATTTGTTCCTACTTAGTAGGAGATGAATAAATCAGTGAGATGGAATAGAGCATCGAGAATGATGGACAGGTATGTGGCTGGGGAAATTACATGTATATATGTATGTATATAGGTACATATATATATTCCTCTTGTAGAATGAAATTTGAAACAACATACAACATACATGGGGGAAAGGCATCTATGAATTTTAAAGAATTTCTCAGTGTTAAAAAAAATTCTCAGTTGCATGCTTTTACCTTTGGACTTTGAAATGTTAAGACCTTTGCTCTTTTTCTTGGAGAGAAAGAAAATGTTGTAAGAGTCGAAAGGTCAGAAGCCATTCTTTATGCCTTCAAGGCTTAAGATCAAAACCCCCAGGATGTGGAGATTAAGAATAAACAAAAGTAGAAGCAGAATGAGATGTCCAGCAGAATTCTGAGCAAGCACTCTTGCTCTTTGATCAGTTCTTCTGGCACTAATTCACCCCGGTTGACTCTTCTGGCCTTCCTCGATTCTCTCTCTCACTATGTTTTTGCTCACCTCCTTGGTTACCGATACTCCTCTTGCTTCCTTTCTTTTCTTTTCTTTTCTTTTCTTTTCTTTTCTTTTCTTTTCTTTTCTTTTCTTTTCTTTTCTTTTCTTTTCTTTTCTTTTCTTTTCTTTTCTTTTCTTTTCTTTTCTTTTCTTTTCTTTTCTTTTCTTTTCTTTTCTTTTCTTTTCTTTTCTTTTCTTTTCTTTTCTTTTCTTTTCTTTTCTTTTCTTTTCTTTTCTTTTCTTTTCTTTTCTTTTCTTTTCTTTTCTTTTCTTTTCTTTTCTTTTCTTTTCTTTTCTTTTCTTTTCTTTTCTTTTCTTTTCTTTTCTTTTCTTTTCTTTTCTTTTCTTTTCTTTTTTTCTTTTCAATAAGTCTGTCTGTTAAGACCCAACTTGCCTTTGATTCTTGGCTCCAGCTTCTGGATTCGCTCTGCACCTGTGCTCACCTAGGCTCACCTTGACTCCTTTTGGTTTCTGACTCCCATTTCGGGACAAACCCTTGCTACATGTTTGCATGTTTAGATCTCCCTTCTGCTTGCTTCCTGGCTCTATATATAGTGAATATATACACTCATGATAAGTTTAATATATAAAAGAATCCTAGTTTGCTGTTGTTGTTTTTTTATCTCACCCAAGGATATTTTTCCGTTGCTTTTCAGAGAGTGGAAGGGACAGAGAGAAACATCGATGTGAGAGACACATATCGATTGGTTGCCTCCCACACGCGCCCTGACCCGGCCGGGGATCAAGCCTGCAACCAAGGTATGTGCCCTTGGCTAGAATCGAACCTGGGACCCTTCAGTCTGGGGGCTGACACTCCAACCACTGAGCCAAGCTGCCCAGGGCAAGAATCCTAGTTTTTAAAAAGCATTTTCTAACAAAAGCAAGACCCACCTTGACTAAACACTATATGGTATGACTTAGGATGAAAGAATGAATAAAACACTGTTATTTGGCCAGGATCCCCTTGTCTATTTGCTTATATTTTAGAACAAAAGAAAGATTCAGAAGATAATTATTTTTGTCCTACAATTCAAGCCAAATGGTAGAATATGATAATCAAATGAATAAGCATTATAAAAATGCCCCAAATTAATGGTTAGAATGATATCCTAATATTTTAGCTTTATTCATAGCCCAAGCCTACAATTATCTATTCCAAATTTAAATTTAAAGAAGTTTGACTAATAATTATAAACATTCTCAGAGTATTTAAAAATATGTTTTGGTTAGCTTTATTATTATTATTATTATTATTTAGTCAACTGTTTCCAACATTTATATTATATATTGGAAGGGACAAGTTCATTTATAATATCTTTGCTTCATATAGAAGTAAAATTTACTTCTGTATTACTGAAGTTATAAACGTTATCAACAACCATGGGAGACATGCCAGAGTATCCCTATCTCTATTGCAAGGCATTGTATCATAAATACTGAGACATACTTTACTCCTTTAAATGGATAGTTTTAGTATGTATTTTGTGTTATGCCATGTTTATTTAATGTTTCATAAATAATACACTATAATACTATTAGTAATTTTTTACCTCATGCTAATTCTGCCACCAACTAATTTTAAAAAATAATTATTTAATGTGTGCTATTTTTTAAAAGGTAAAACAGAGCCTAACATAAACAATACCTCAAAAATTGCAGCATACAGTCTCCCCTATCAGTTTTCAGAAATTTTTACTATTCACTGATGTATTCAGCCATTTATTCACTAAACATTTACTGAAAGCCTTCTGTGTGCCAGGTACTACTATGCAAGCTGCTGCTGATGTGAATAAATAAAATATAATTGTTCTCTCAATGATCTCATAGTTTAGATGGAAGGTTAAGACATCATGCAAATAGTTATAATACACTATAATGTAGGTTAAAATGGAATTGATTATAAGTTTTAGATATGAGAGCTTTTTTTCCTGTCTGCAGAACTCAGGGAAAGCAACATAAGTATTTAGGTTAGCTTTGAAGAATGAGCAGGGATGCTGTAGAGGCAAGAAGGAAGAAAGCATGTCCCAGGAAGGAACATCTATGTGCAAGGAAGCTGGAGTTTTATGAGGGGAAGAGACAAAAAAACCTGCTGACTACATGAAGCATGTGAGTAACTTCAAGCAGTGCAGTGTGGCAGGAATGTAGGGAATACAAAAGAGAAGTTATACATATGAAATGGTGAGTGGGTACTTTTCAGGATGGTTTAGACTTGGCACTATTTTGTGATAGAAGCAAAAGTTTCATCAAAATGAGAAAGATGGATGATACAAAGGCGAAAGAAACAATTCTACATGGCCCTCAAATTTGTTTTATATTTTTTCTTTCCAGGCACTAAGACAATTCCATTTCTAGATACCTTACTGTTAGCTGAGGTCATATGAATAGTTTCAGGGCAGTAAATTGTGAAAAAACTTAAATCTGTTACTTTTGGGCCCAGGCAGTGAAAAGCCCCTTTGTTATTCTCTGGTATCTCTCTTCACCTGGCATGGGGACCAAGGGGAACTCGGGTTGACTTGGGGAACAACAAGATCATAGCTGCCTGAATTCATGAGTCACCACATCAAAGACAATTGCATTGGAGAGTTGCCCAGATCCACAATGGATTTGGTGGGTGAAATAAATAAAAATAAATTTTTATTAAGTCATCAGACTTAGCATTTTGTTTTGTTTTGTTTTGTTTTGTTTTGTTTTGTTTTGTTACTGTGGCATAGCATAACTGACCCTGACCAAAGCACAAATTTGAAAGTCAGTACTTAATAGGCATACAATTCAAAGGGGGCAGAAGAAGATGGATTCAAGACCACAAGTTAAGAGGTTTGCAAAGAAATAGGACCACTTCTTCCTCTGAAACATGTAGGAAAGTTTAGGGAGGAAAAAATATAGGAAAATTTGGAGGCAGAAAGGGGAAGTTGAGAACTTTGGTCGTGATGGATACTATATTTTCTGTGATATTAGAAATGAAGTCTGGTGAGAAGGTGAGAGGCAAGATGGAGGGAAGTAAAATTATTGAGCAGTTGCTGAGGGGACATTACTATTCAGAATAGGAAAGAGAGTTGGTTAGAGGGAAGGAAAAGAACTGTAGGACAGTAGTAGGTGTCCAGCTGGGTCTGTACCTCAAGCATTTATAGTAGAATCAATCAACATGACTTATTAACTTAAAAATAAGCAAATAAAGTACAGCAGTGTATTAGTAGTTACCAAATATGTTTATTAAGATAAGCTTCAAAGACATTTGATTAAATTCAGCATCCATTTCTATTAAACTCCAATCAAAATATGAATAAATATGATGGATACTACTTTTGCAAATTAAGAGCAAACATTTTAGACATTAACCCAAGAAACCCTATTTTAAAACTATTATAAGGGAATTTGGTAACATACCTGTGTACACAATGCCTATTTAAAAAGCAATACTGTGACTCTATACTAGAAATAATCAGATAGTATTAGAAATGGAAAAAATAATCCACATACAAAAACTTTAAAATATTTTAAAATAAATTTAATAAGAAAGGTACAGTGTCTATAGAAAAAGAACCATAAATTCTTATTGAAGGGCTATATCAAGAGCTGAACAAACGGATAAACATACCGGGTTCTTCCAAGGAAAGACTTAATTTTATCAATATGTCAGTTTTGTTATACACATTTAATGAAATACCAATTAAGATCTCTATGGTCTTAGAAAATTGAATTATCTTACATTTTATATGGAAGAATAAATGTCCAAGAGAAGCTAAGAAATGTATGAACATGAAAAATGATGAGATTCCTTGCCAGATATTAAAATGCTATAAAGTCAGATAATCAGAATGGTTGGGTATTAGCATAGGGATAGACTAATCAATTAGTAGTTTACAGAATACCTGAGAACTCAATATAAGATAAGGGTGATTCTCACTTCAAAGGGAAGACAGCGGTTCAGTATATGAGCACATTTTATTTTCATATTAGTAAATAGCATAATTAGCTACTCATTTGAAAAAAATTATAGTTGGGCTGCTACCTCATAGGATATATATACATGTAAACATTGCATTAGTGTTAAAAGTTAAATAAAATGATAAAAATTTTTAAAGTGAAATAGAGACCATATGTAGAACCTATACATTGGGAATTCTTTTTAAAGCAAGTTAGTAACCCACAAATTATTAAGAAAATATGTGATTTAAGGAAACTCCATACTGCTTTCCACAGTGGTTGCACCAGTCTGCAATTCCCACTAATAGTGCACGAGGGTTCCCTTTTCTCCACATCCTGGCCAACACGTATTTCTTGTTGATTTATTTATGAGAGCCATTCTGGCACTTGTGAGGATATCTCATTGTGGTTTTAATTTGCATCTCTCT